GACACAAAGTAAAACGAAAAATTGTGCAATTTTGTGCATCTTAAAATCCATTCAATAAATGTCGCATTATAATGCTCAAATGTTTCAGTTTTGCATAAAAATTCATTTATCGTTTTTATGCTGATTCTTGCTTACGGGGCTGAAGTCGTAGGTAAAATAAAGAAAAGCAGAGAAAAAAATGAGAATTATGAAATTTTTTTTATTTTCAACAGTAAAACGGCAAAAAGTGAATGAAAAATAAAAAACAATCATACATAATTTGCATAACACAACAAATGACAATAAAAGCGTTAACTTCTTTACAGAGAATTTGTTATGAATAACAATAAGTGTTGGAGTTCTCCTTGCTATGATTATCGTGTGAAAAATATTTTTTATTATAATTCTTTTGCAATAATGCGAGATTATAGTGCCAACGCGATGCAGAATTTTTTATAGATAGTAAATTAATCAAGAATCATGCTGCATATTCAATTTAACGACTTCTTTGTCAAAGGGAATGAACATAAAAAAATCTACTGACTTTTTTTAAACAAATTTTTCTCAACTGATTTACATTAAAAGCTTCTGGCATGCTTGTTATTGTGCATCTGGTGACAGGAGGCTTGTTCGCTTCAAAATCTACATATTTATGTTGTTGGTAAAGGGAAGAGTGTGAAGTAAGAATCCATGAATTAGTTTTTAAGTCGTGCATTAAAAAGAGAATTAGTTATCTCAAAAGAATTGCAAAATTATCCTATGGTTATATCCACAAATGCAATTGATACTAAACTAAAGAGCGCACCCCTAAGCTAAATGACCCAAAAAAAGTTGATCCATAATCCACAAATATTGACAAAATCTAATGATTCAAAACAATAAACGAAGATGGTTATTTTGAATGCAAATAAAGGCAGTAGCATCAACTGACTAAACAATAAGAAGAAAAGCTAACTCGACTATTTAAACATTTGAAATTCAAGAGAGAAAAAATCACATAAAACATGTTAATGATTTTTTTGTGAGCATAAAAACATGTTATTATTCGTGATCTAGCGCAACGTGATGCCCTTAAGATGTTTCTTATAAGATGGTGCTGTGTGTATGTCTTTCTCCATCTCCTTTCAGATGAGATGATGGCCTCCCAAGGTTTTCTAATAGTTTTTCTTTTCTTAAAATATTTTCTTTTCTTAATCACTCTTGAAGCAAAAAAAAATACATGCTTATGTTAGCTAAATGCATATTAAAGGAGCTCTCTTTTATACAATGCCGAAGTCAAATTTGATTCGATTGCTATTCATTGTGTATTTTCAACAATCAATTAGAGATCAGTAAAGCAGAAATAAATTGGTTAAGAAGATAATTAAATATTATTTTTTTTTATCAAGCCATTTACTTGTGTGCCTTACTGTACAGTATATATGTAGCATATGTAGCACGCAAGTAAACCACATGAAACGTCTAAGCTCAATTTATTTTTTCTTCAACTTCTTTCTATGTTCAGTGTGTATCAAACAGCAGCATCTCGCATCAAATGTCAATCTATCAACGTACCGCATCTATCAAGCAGTTTAACATTTCATGTAGCACATTTTACTTAAGAATTCGTGCGTAATCTTTCACTTTGACATGTTGTATGAGATATTTTTAATTATGTCTTGATAAGTCTATTGTAAAGCTTCTTTGTATATTCTTATTTTTAACCGATTTCTAATCTTTTCATACCTTAAATTGATTTGTGACTTCTTAACTTTAAATGATTTTAAAGGCAAGAAAAAATAATTTTTAAATTCAATAGTCTATTAAAACTGACCTTCAATATCAGCACTATTGAATATTTTTGACTTGAGACTGCATACCTCAAGCACCACAATATTTAAAACAAACATAAATGCGCTTCTGAATATAAAAATATCAAAATAATATTCTCCCATTTATGGTGCTTCTGATTCACGTCTTATTGATTGAAGAGATGAAAAAAAAAATATCTTTTTGAACATTTTAGACAAATTATTAACTAGTCGAGATGAACAAATTTCAATTAATAGTCTTTCCTGATGAGGGAGAAGAAAATATAATTAATTCGTTACTGTCTGGAATCATAATTAAGTTTTTACATGCTAGAATTGAGACTTTGTTGTAAGTAATTATTTTTTTCTCTCTATCTTAATCAAAATGAATTTCATTTATATCTAATTAAAAGCTCCACGCGTATATATTAATTTTTGAATTAAACATAAATTCCTAGTAAGTTTGAAAAAAAATCACAGCTACAAAACAATTTTTTCACTTCATTCCTTTATTCAATTTGTTGTCAGAAAAAAATTTCTCTGTAATAAATATCAAGTCGAGACGTATGTAGACTATTAACTATTTATAAGTTTTTTTTTTATTTTTCAAAATATAAAGTCTTATTAAACATAAAAAGCTGTCCACAAACAATGTATGTAATCACGAGAAGAGAGAAAAAAACAATTACAGTTGAATTTTAAAATGATTTTAGTAAGTAGTGACAGCAGCGAGTAAAATGGAGATATATGAGTGAAAAGAGACATAATGTTGAGGGAGAGTTCACAACTATCTGACATTTGCTAAATACCAGGGGTTTGGTTTTAAAGTGCTTGCTGAAGTTTTTAAAATTAATTAAGTTCATACATTGCCAGGCCGGTGCCAATAAAACTAGTAAGAGCATGGTCATATATGAACGATAAGAGCGCATATATGCTACTCAAACCCTCTTTGTTTTGATTTTATCGTAACTGAAAAGTAAAGCTGATGAATTGAGACATTTTTCGCCAACTAAGGTTACAGTCTTTCTTCTTTCTATTGCGACCAGGGTTGCAATACAGGCACCTGTCACAGGTGAGAACCGTACAATTCCTTGATAATTTGTGAGGTTTTATTAGAATTTATATTGTTTTGTTTAGAAAAGCCTTATAAATTATCAAGGAATTGTAAGGTTCTCACCTGTGACAGGTGCCTGAATCGCAGCCCTGCTTGCGACAGCATTGCGTATTAAATACTTAATTTTAACAAATTCTCATTCATCTTTGGAATCAATAAATAGAAAGTCAGATTGACAAAATTTTTAATGTTAATGAGGAATGAAATCAATAGCTAGAGTCAATCATGTTAAAAATGTAAACGCTTAACTGTAAATAAGCAAAAAACTATCTCATCCGCTTTTAATAACACTTACTGCTTGCAATTTTTTGCATGAATCAAGCAATAAATTGGCTGAACAAAAGCTTCACAACATTCCTGTCAGAACTAATGATCTGTATTTCATTCAATGCTTAACCCCTGTGATGAAATGATAAATTGCAATTTCTTTCTTGCTTTATTTTTATTCTCACCGCATCTGCAACATTTCATTGATGCTTCTACCTTTTTATAACTTTTAATTTTATCCAAAAAAATTTATTTATTTTTTTTTTCGTAATACCAAGGAGCTTTTTATGAGGGAATTAAATGCTTTTGCTTTTTTTAGTAGTCGTATTAATTTGAAAAATGAGCGAAAGAAATTCCTGTAGCAATCGTAATTATCCGTATGTATATACAAGATTAAAACTGCATGAATCTTCAGCTCGAGACTTTTTCTCACAAAATAAAAATAAAAATTTACAAGAAGATGTATGAAAAAAAATTTCAGTACGTTCATAAGCTGTTTAAAAGAAGTCAATTTTGTGTTTTTGTTTTATTTTTTTCGGTTTCCACGTAAATGAGAAATTTATAGTTCGTTAATAGGGCAAACACGTATTGAAGCATTATAGGCAAGCATTAATGAAGAATTATATATTTTATATCTGTCGAGCAATTAATCATCAAAAACATATTTTAACGATTTTTGTACCTTACACCCGTCTCATTTAGACTGCAATGGGAAGAAAATATGATGAGTATTGTGAGAGATGTAAGCAGCAAAAACGTCAATTTTCGACTCGTTAAAATCATAGTAAATAGCTTTAAGCAAAAAGCAATCAAAGGCAGTGGAGGAGAAACATGTTACTAACTATACATCCATAATGTAAAGCCTCTATGCTCAACGTAAGAATAAGAAGAAAAAGACAGATTGAAAAAAATAATTACGAAGATCTCATATGTCATTTCAGTTGCGTATATAAATCCATCAATATTCTATTTTAGTATGTTTCAGACCTCTCATGGCTGTGACTTCGATAAAATAAATTTAGAAGTTTATAATCTCAATAAAAATACATAAACGACTTGACAATTTTTCTTCTTCTTTTCCAATGTATCTAAGTGGCTAGCATACTAGCAAGCTTGAGCTTAAAGCCTTCGATCAAACATTCTTGTTCATATCTATGTCTCACGATCAATTTTCCATTACAAATTTCTCATGTGGAATGCCTAGGCATTCAACTGAATAAAGATTTTTTTTTTATTTCATATAAGCACTTGAGTTTTAAAAAAGAAATTCAATTGTAATGGGTAATTCCACCTTACCCCTTGTAAGTGCTTTACTCACATTTATATTTCACCTTTTTAAATTTAGTTGGAATCACTTGTTGTCGCACTATGCTGGTATTTCGGTATTTAAATACTTCAATAAACCAATCATGAGTTCGAGACTCAAAACTTATTTTTCTAATTATTGAAACTTAGACAGCACAACAAATTTTACATCGAACATAATCCTAGTGTCTCTAGTTTGTAGCATGATTCTTTCTGTGGTTATCATAGTACATGAAGATGATAAAAATCAAAAAGGTTGTCTTTAAAAAGAGATTTGGATCCTCATTCAATTTGTTGATCCAAACTTAAATGCGAGATCCATTAAATTGCATTAATTTAAAAAGTAACAGTAAACACGAACAACAAAATTCGAACAAGCTCATCTTACAACATTGTTGCAAAAAAAATCCACAACTGAAGCACGACGCAACTTTTTTGCAAGGGATCTTTTTTCAATCACTGCTCAGTAGCCTCAATAAAAATATTTTTCTAATTTAATAAATTATTTTTTGCTAATTTAATTTTTATTTTTTTTTTTCGCACAGATGAGCTACTTTATGTCCAACGAATGATGTTTAATAGATTTCTAAGAAAACGACTTAAGAAAAAGTCAACGTCATTATCATCTATGAAAAAGTAAGGCGAGTAGAAGCTGTAATAACAACGAACCACGTAGCAAAACAAATCATCAGACTAATCCATAAAAAAGCCGAAAATATAATATGTATTAATATAATATAAAAACAGCGAAAAGACATAACAAAACGCGTAAAACAAATAAGCAAAAAAAATACCAGTATAGTTTATATAAATATAAAAGAAATAATATCATTCGTTCATCGACATTTTGGTTGACGCAGAAAGATAGAAAGAACGAGGAGAGAGAAGACAGTAAAAGATATAAAAATAAAACTACAAACACACAAGAACTGTGAAAAATTATATTTTGGATTTTTATATATGCTACCTATATTCAATAACGGATCGGATGAAATGACATCAGCAACAAGCATGGACATTAGCGAATCATTTCGACCCGAAGATTTGTCTAAAACAGATTTTTTTGATTTTGTAACAGCACCTCCGGAACAAGAGCAAGAAAGCAATCAAGGCACTCAGAGCGGCAATAATGTTAATAGCAATAGTAATAATGATCAGCAGCCACTACAGGGTTTCGATCAAGTAAGTGTGTTTGTGCAATTTATATACCCAAAATAATAATAACAAAAAAATCCAACTTATGCCACTCAACATTTTTTTTTTTGTGGAACGCCTTAATTGCGGCGTGATAAATTTTGTTAATTAAAAAAGTATAAGAGGCCAACACATGATCTCGATCGCTACAACATCTTTTCCTTTCCTCATGATTTTTTCCCATAACTTTTGAGGAATTTTCATTGAGAATCGTCAATTTTGGTTTGTGTTACAAAAGTATCTATCGTTTAAGTCGTTAATTTAAGTAAATTAGTCATTAATTGAATAATCTTCTAAAAAACTGTTTGAATGACTGAAACAAAGCCAAACTTTAATGTTCTAATGTAATGTCAAATCACATAAGAATTGGGTCAATAATCTATAGAAATGTGATTTAGTGAAATTATTATATGGGTTCGATTCCCATTAAAATTCGAAATCTCAATGATATAACTCGCACATATTGAGTAAATGTGCACCAAAAGTCGCGTACAGTTTAAGTTCCTTATTAAATTGTCCAAACCCAGCAATTTTTTCTCATTTTTAAAGACTTCTTAATATAAAATAAATTTCTTTTCTTATGCCTTCTGTATTTCGGCATAAAAATTCATTAAAACTACATGAATGCATAAAGTTAGGTCCGATCAAGAGCGATTATGACAATATTTATTGTTTATTGAATAACCGGCATTTTTCTTTAAATGAGATCATGTGCTTACTTATAAAGATAAATCTTTGATCATTATGTAATGATTAAAATGTCCTAGTTGAACAGTTGACCAAACTCATTAAGCATTCATAACTTGTTAAAAGGAAATGGGCGAAATAAACAACAAGTTGCGTTGTGTATGAATGTGTGACTTAAAACGATTTAATCGACTTTTCTCTTTTTATTATCTCTTGATTTTTTCATGCACTCTTTCTTGAAATACAGTCTGGAATTATCACTATTTTGTCGGTAATTATAAGTACAAAATTTCTTCATTATTGAGTCTGCCGTTCTGAACCATTTATTATGCTTTTTACAAGACCTATTCTTAAGGCTGAAAGCGATTATCGAATAATTCGTTATCAGTGAAAATTTGCAAGAAATCGATTTGTGTCGAGATACGATAACATGATATTTCGTGTAATATCTTGGCCATAAAAACATTTAAACTGACATTAACCAAAAATTTGCAGTGACTTGTTCACTATAATTAAATTATTCGTCGGTACTTATTGAAATAATAAGGAAATCTCCGAACAGAATTCTTCGTCATGCTTGATGGGATATTGTGATGATTTTTTAATTCTATAGATCAAGCTATAAGATTTTTTGGCGTCTATCAGAAGAGCATTACAAGCTCTAAAGTAGATGATTATGACTTATTTTTCGGGTATTATCATCAATAAATTCTGTCGATGCATGTTAAATGTCAAAATATTTTAGAGACCACAACAGCAGTGTAAAGCATTTAAAAATCACATAAATTGATCGAAAAATTGTCAAAAAAAAGATGACATCAAAACCTGCTGCTCATCATCGCGGAGGTAATTGAATATCATCATCATATTTCTTTTAAAAAAAATGTAAACTTGAAATGTCAGAATTGCCTTTAGGACACAAATACTCTACTTTTTGAGGAAGATCCTGTAACATTATCAAAAGACCACTTATGTAAATTAATTAAATTTTGCATATTTACGTGACTTTTTCTGCCACTTTTCACATTGAATTCATCATTGCTGTAATAACTGAGGGAATTTTCAACTGGCAAGTCTTTACTAAAAATTGTTATCATGTTTTTTAACCAAAACGAACAAGATTTTTATAGGTATATAATCCCATAAGTGTAGACCTATTATTTAATGGTGATGATGATTATTATTAATATAAATTTTTACTGCTTCAACGAAAAGTGTATCGTAAAAATCCAAGCTATTATTATTTAAATTCCCTTCCTCTGGAAAATTGTGTCCTACACTTTACGATACTGTTATTATTAAAATTACTTAGTGAATGCAAAATGCGTCTTTTATGCTATAGCCATACATACCGACATCACTTTACTTAATCTTTCATAAAAACCCAAAAGAGGAAGAAATCAATTTTCTTACGTTGGCTGAATTATCAGAAGGATTTTATCTTAATAGTGAGTTATTCATTACTTTAAACTTGCGACAGACACTGCTGAATTGAGATTGAAATCAATACAAGATTGAAAATATTCACTGATGGCCTACAGGTGGATTTTTGATATCTTCCTAAGTATGCGAGAAGAGGATGGAGACATATACCAATTTTCCATCTCTCTTTCTCTGTTTTCCTTCCTTTAAACGTTTCTTCTTGCATCATTTCGTTAATAAATTAAGCTCTTTAAATGTAATTTCGGCAGCAAACAGTTATAAAGAAACATTTCAATAAATTAAATTAAATTAATTTCGCATATAAAGAATTTATGCTTGTAAAAGTTAATTCCTTCATTATTTATCCTATGCTTTTGTAAATATTTCGTAAATTACTTAAATTGTGCTGAAAAACGCAGGAAAAAAGAAGCAAGAATACAAGAAAAATGAATTTTTGAAGCCGACCTCTCTCATTTTATTCTGTAAAAAATTTACTTTTATTATTTTTATTAAAAATGATTATGCCGCCCTAAAGAATTGGACAGTACATAATATGATCAAAAATGATGTGCATTTTACCTTATTTTGTGAGGTTTGCTCCCGCATTCATGAAAAAAAAATATATCTTTTGGATGTTTCATATATGAGGCATGAGAAAAGTATTAAGTAAAGGCATGCCTACGTATACATCATATAGAATATGTCAAGCACGCATGTCTTAACATTAAATATTTGACTTCGAATTTAATTTAACGTGAATCGCAAAAAATTTAATTTAGCAGTAACAATTTTTTTTGTTGAGAAAATCGCGAGATTTGGAAAGTTTTATACTTATTTTGATGATGAGAGAGTGAGATGGAATGAACAAAAAATTATATTAATAAAAATACATATACAAAAGATTATCAGCGGGGGATCATAACGTAATGAAATTTTATTTCATTTGCTTCGTCTGATACAATTGTTTTCTTTAACACAAATGAACTTAATTATTTTCTGTGTCTGTTCTCATGTGCGCTTCACTCTTTTCATGTTTATCGTTTTCTTTTACCATAATTTTTTTTAAGTCAACACTTGAACGAATGTCTTGAATTTTGTATCAGGTTTTCTCAACCTTTTTAGCTACGGGCTCGTCTAAAAGCCTTTTTTTATCTGGTCGTCTTTAAATAGCAAACACATGACTGTATGATTAAGCAGATTGAATCTATGCGTCACTCCGAATATTAACTCTCGTTTAGTGTACAGCAACGCACAATTTAAGAACTCCTGATTTCTACTACTTCACTTAATGACTATTATTCTAGCGTGATTTTTAAGAAACCGAATAAAATCAAGTATTTGCTTTAAAATTGATCTACAAGTGGTTCGTTGGGAAATCCCCACATACCTCAGTTTGATTTTGAATGATCCAGTAACAATTTTAATTTATAAACTGTTATCAACCCGATTACAGCTTTCAAGAATTAAAATAAAACTTGTCAGTTTTTGAAAAGTATTCAAAACTTTCTATCAAGTTATGATAATTGATAGTTTACTGTTCCTATAAAACAGTAATCAAAATGATTTAATTAGTTGATCATTACTGATATCAAGGAAGAAATTTGCATACATACGATAAACTGATTGAATTACTGACCTTCCATATCATTTCGTATAAAACTGTGGTAATTGAAACTTTCATTCACTTACAGACTATACTGTACATGCGAATAATGAAGTAAAAAAAAATTGCAGATGAGTTTTTCCTTTCTCAAAGACATTGAGATTGATGTGAATATTTTTTTAAATGGACACAGACAAATGCTAAGAAAGATTTATTAGACAAGTAATAATGAATAAAAAAAATATAGTATTATGAATGAAGGAAAGAGAGAAGTAACGCATAGTTGTATCAAATTTATGTGATTTCTTCTCATTCCATCTTCGAATCGAAATCGATAATTAAGGTGAGATCTTGGCGAATTAAAACTAAGCATTTTAAATCGCTTAATGCACCATGAATGCTTAAATCAAAACATAAGTAAGAGAAACATGTATGTGAATTAATGTCCAAGAAGTTTCATATATATTTTTTTACTTACTTCTCCTCTTCATTCATTTGCAACAACTTGTACCGTCTAATAATTGAATAATAGGAAATTTTCTGGTATCAAATGCCGCAAACCAGTAAATCTCTTTTAATAGTAAAAGCACCATTATATACAGTATAAAAAATGTATTAAACAATTTTTATTTGCTTCAGCCGTATTGAATTGCTTTGACTTTATAATACCGGTTGCTTTTCTAGGTTACTTGAACGACGACTCGCATCTTAACTATAAATATTGATATTGGCTATTCAATGTCTAATTGTCTTTTCGTCTTTCCTCTTCTTTTTTTACCTTCTTTATAATTGAGAGGAGAGAATAATATTAATTGATAAGAAGCATAAAGAGGTGGAATACCATAAAAATATTTATGACTCATACAATTTCTTCTATTTGAGAATAACATTCCATTATTAGACTATACATGTACAATAGCCGCAGATGTGAGAAGAAAAATAATTAAAATTGGAAACATTTGAGATTACACTGCTGCTCCGACTGGCTGTAATCATGTTGTAAAAATTTATTTTTATTGAATTATCAACATCATCAGGCTTAAGAAAGTTGATTATTTTATTGTTTTATTAAAAAAGGCAGAAGAAAGACATGGATGGAAGACATGATAATATCAAGTCTCTAAGGAGATTTTTATGTAAATTAGAATTTATTTTCCTCATTTGTAAGCTTTGTCCTCGTCATTTTCTAAATGCTTTAAATTCTCATCGCTTATGGATTAGAAATGTGAAACTTTTTTAATTATTCATACTTTAGCACAACGGGGATGCATATTCT